CAGACACAGAGAGAACACAGATTAAAAACAGAGGGTAAGTGGAAATTTGAAAGGGCAAACTAGGATAAGTTTAGGGTGCGGAGTGAGGGTAACTTGAAAAATCTGGATTTCAACAAACCAACAAATGAACTGAACTCAGACATGAGTAAAAGTGTAGTGGATGCAGCCAAAGAATCTATCCTGTAAAGTAGTGGGAACAAAAAGAAAATGTTAACACCATGGTGCACACAAGAATGTACATTAGCAATTAAACCACAGAACAAGTTTAAAAATGAAACAAGCAGAAGTTAGAAGGATCACAAAGAAAGGTAAGAGTTATTGTTGGAGAAAATGCTGTGAATCACTGGGTAAAAATACACTGGACAGGGTTTGGTATACAAAAAATGTCTGGCAATTCAAAAGATTGTTATTTCCCAGCAATGATAGATAATGAAAATATTATAATAGACAAGTAAATCTGAATTATTAGAAAAACATTGACAAAAGTAAAGAACCTTCACAATAAAGAAAAAAAGAGGATGAGAAACGACATTACAGAGAAATATCCAAATAATTCAGGATGAAGACGACAGTGAGGATGTAATTAATATCAAGTTTTCTTTATCAGAATGGAAGAGGGCATTAAATAAATCTGTAAAAACAACTCAGTGTGAGGATCAAGTCAGATATTGTATGCTGAACAACCTGAGTGATGCAAGTAAGAAAATATTGATAGAGTTATATAACTCTATGGGAGGAAGGAAAACTACTGAATAAATAGAAAGAAGAAATTATTGTTCCAATATGGGAAAGATCCAAGTTTAGCAAGAAGCTATGAAGTAATTGCTCTCAAATCTTGCTCGGGTAGAATAATAGGAAAAATGTCTAATTTACTTTTAAGAATCTGGGGAGAAATTTAAATGTTATCAGTTTGGATTTAGAAGAGGTAGTAGTACTTTAGACCCAGCTTTATGTTTAGAACATGAAAGCAGACAGGCTCATGTTTATAAAAAGAGTGTTATGAGCAGAGATAGGCAGTAACGCGTAATCTGATTACTTTTTTCAAGTAACGAGTAAAGTAAGGGATTATGATTGCAAAAAAAGTAATTAGATTCCACTTACTTTCCCGTAAGCACGCTGCGTTACTGCGTTACTAAACTGTGATTTTGTTTGTGAGAGTGTCTCCTGACAATGACGCAAGCGTGTGCGACAGCTGTGGTAGCACGTCTGTAAATCAACAATAGAAAACATGGAGCGAGGGATAGAGTATCGTGCAGCATTTAATACTTGGAAATACCGACATTACTTTGAATTTGACTCTTTAAAAAGCGACAAAAACATAAGCGCGTTGTACACTCTGCATCGGAAGAAAACTTCTTTCTACGTCAAAAAATTCCACTTCCAACCTGAGCAAGCACCTAGCACGCTGCCACAAGAATGTTAAATTGACAGAAAACCCCCAGGATCCCCCCACTGACATGACCATTGTGGCTACCACATCTACTTCCACATCTACTTCCACCGGGCAAACCTCAGATGGACCCACTCCTGCTAAACAGGTTAAACTAGACGTAAGAGCGACAGGACTTAGTGCCGCTGAACTGAAGAAGCTCGTCGCTGCCTATATCGTCGAGGACATGTTGCCGATTTCCACTTTAGACTCTGAATCATTCCGACGCATCCTAGAAAAAAATACCAACTAAAAGTGGTGTCAAGCTGCCCCAGAGAAAGTCATTTGTAGGATACCTTGAGAGAGAATATGACAAAATGAACTCTAACTTGAAGGCTACACTCCAAGAGGCAGAGTTTGTTTCCACCACTGCTGACATCTGGACAGTAAATAATAAAAGTTTTATGGGTGTAACAGTTCACTGGATTAATTCCACATTACAACGCAACAAGGCCGCCCTAGCATGCAAGAGAATTAGAGGCAGCCATACCTATGATGTAATTGGAGCAGAGATTGAAGAAATCCATTCATCATATGGACTACAAGGCAAAGTTATTGCCACTGTAACGGATAATGCATCCAATTTTGCCAAAGCATTCAGAGTATGTCAGCCCTGTCATTTGGAATCTGAATCTGAAAATGAAGGTGATGACGAGGAACCGACCTTTACTGATGTCATAGAAGCTCTTTCAACCGCATCTGGTGATGCACAGTTTAGCCTCCCTCCACACTACAGATGTGCATCGCACACAATTAACTTGATTTCATCAAGCGATGTTGACAAACATCTAAATTCCTGTGCAGACACCAAGGCTGTATATAGGAGTAGCATTGCAAAATGTTCTGCTCTTTGGACTAAAGCAACTCAATCAACATTAGCCTCTGAACAGGTGGAGGAAGTCAGCCGGAGGAAACTAATGGTACTGACATCCACAAGGTGGAATTCCCTGTATGAGGCCATTTCTAGAATCATCACAATTCCCTTGAATGAACTTAATCCCCTGTATGTAAAACTGGGAATCAAGTGCCTTAATGAAAGGGAGTACCAGTTCTTGAAAGAATACTGTACTGTGATGAAGCCCCTGACAGTGGCTCTGGACATCTTACAAGGGGATGAGTGCACCTACGGGGCTTTACTGCCAACACTCACAAGCCTGATGTCAAAGACGCTTGCCCTGAAAGATGACCTCTCTAGAATGACAGCCAGCCTTCCAGATGTCATTGTAAAGGTAAGATTATTATTAATTGCTTTGGGTGGATTTGTTAAATTTATTATACCATTCACAGTGGGTGGATGTTATACTTTGTTTTAAGCAGCGTGTACAATTATTAAAATGATAGAATAAAAGACCAAGTATTCACCCCTTGTTAAATATCAGGGATATTGATCATCATTAATCATGAATATTAATCATAATATCAACAAAAGCCTCAACCAAAATTTAATCTCATACAATATTGATAATAGAAAATATGGTTTAGAGGTGTAAAGCCCACAAAATAATGATAATAGGTAATTATATAGTAAAATAATTTTATTCTTAGATGCATCATATTGTATGTTACAGGCCCTCAAGACTCGTTTTGATGCTGTTCTGGATAGCCAAGAAGGACTTGTCGCAGCGGCCACTTGTCCCAAGTTTAAACTTCGTTGGCTGAGAGATGAGCGTAGGAGAGAGTATGTGAAGGAGCTCCTGATAACAGAGTGTCGTAAAGCTGCTCCTGCAACTGAGAACACTAATGTGTCCCAAATCCCAGCCAGCCCAGCCAAAATGGACTTTTTTGAATTTCAGAATCAGCCCAAAGAAAGCTTCTCAGCAGAAAAAGAAGTAACTGACTTTTTAAGGTCAGGCTATGAGCTTGAGTTTCTGAATCAGTTCCCAAATCTCAAAAAGATTTACATGAAATACAACAGTCCAACTCCATCCATCCAGTGCACCAGTGGAACGGCTGTTCAGTTTAGGTGGATTGGTGCTTTCCCCAAAAAGGAACAGAATGTCTGATAGAAGGTTTGAGAAGCTTCTGCTGATGAGATATAGCCACTGTTTCAGTCCAAAAGAAAACAATAAAACATAGGTCTTTTTCAGGGTTGCCACAAAATGAGACTGGATTAACAGCCTAAATGTCACATGCAATAGCATTTTCTGTTTTGGTAATCTCAATATTATGCCTCTCTGCACTTTACCAACTGTTAAAAGATGTTATTGTTAATTTTATTTATTTATTTTTTTTGCTGTATTTATATGAAAGGATGTGTGTGTATACACAAAAATAATTTATGTTATATGCTGGAGTATGCAGAAATACACTTTAAGCCTTTATTTTCTTAAAATATGGTTTAATGTGCAGAAATATGTTTAAATGTTAAACAAATTTATTAAAGTCAAAAACTGTTGAATTTAATTTAATTTTTATTTGATGCAATGTTTATAAAGTTAAGATTAAAAGTAATAAACAATGTTTTAAAAAGACTTGTCAATGGAAAATTGTATTTAGCAGTCAGTATAAGCTTTTAATGATATAAGTTTACATGTAATAGAATACTGCATGATGACCTTTTCATTGCTTAGAACTGATTGTTCTTTATAAAATGTGTTCTGATATTTCTATCTGAATCTTCCCACAGCGATAGTAAGAAGTTGAACAAGCAGTTCTAACCTCGCACACACACACACACACACACAATCACATACGCACATGCTCACGTATCAACATTCCACTAAACAAATGTTTTCATTTTTCTTGTGTATAAATAAAGGCAAGTGCAAGAACAGAGCGCGCACTTCACAGGGCCCCCACTCTGATGTGAGCGCTCTGTGACCGCCCTTGCAAGTAAAATCTGCAGCATGTGTGTCTCCACTCTCTGGCTCTCAGCTGAAGAAGTGTCATTCAGAATAAATCTCTTGACAACACTTTTCCATTTGATTCACTTTTATATGGTGGATTATGCAGAAAAATTTGAATTGGCCCAAAAGGTCTATTGCTTTATCACGCATTCAGGTAGTGTATCATGTTTTTGAAAAGTAACTAAGTAACTAAGTAACTAATTACTTTTGAAAATAAGTAATCAGTAAAGTAACGGGATTACTTTTTTGGAGAAGTAATCAATAATCAGTAACTAATTACTTTTTTCAAGTAACTTGACCAACACTGGTTATGAGGATGTTAGAGGATGTTATATCAAGGATGAGATTTGGTTATACAGGACTAAATAGCACACTTAAAATAATTAACAAACATGATACAGGGTATTGTGATTATTGCAGGCAAATGGAAACAGTAGAGCTCACATTCTTAGATTGTAATAAATACTCACATGAGAAAGAAAGATTGGTCAGGAATCTTCATAACAACAAGAATAATTTAAAGATAAGGGAATTATTTCAAAGAAACTCGTGGGTTATAGTTTTTGTTGACATTTGTAAATTTGTGAAAGAAACTGGAATTTAAAAAATATACATATATATATAATGGTGGTACTGTAGTTTCTGATCCATACGCTAATCTAGTAGGTGGCGGTAATGCACCATTCAGTTGTTTGCTAACCGCCATAAAAACAGAAGAGGAAGAAGAAGATCCGTTTCCCTATCAGCTCAGGGTCGGAAAGTATCGATCCAAAAATGTTTGTCATAGTGGAAACGTTAACTGGAAAGCGCTTGAATATTGAAGTTGAGCCAAGTGATACAATTGAGAATTTAAAACATAAAATCCAGGACAAAGAGGGCGTTCCTCCAGGTAGGTCTAGAATCACTCTCCCCATGACTAAAACGAGCACATATTACTACATCACAGTTAACGCTAGACATATTGTCAACTGCCTAAACCTATAAGTGTTATCTAATTTGTCTGTTTTGAAAATATCCCACTGTCTACTCATAAGAGTCCCTTTGTACGCTCCAAAAGCTTTCATGGTGCGTTTGCTTGCACTTTGTGAACTAAGAAATATTTATGCGAGTAGTCAGGAAGGTTGTTAAAAAGGACATTTTCTGATTTCCCCTTGTTAAAATAAATACATGTGTTATTTATTTCTTCTTCTGTACAAGCTGCATTTCTCCGTAGGGAAATTTATATATTTCAACGAATAATAGAACCGTAGCCGAGTATAATCATACGGAGAAGAGCTGCTCCTCCTCCTCACTGAAAGGAGCCAGTTGGGGTGGTTCATACTTCTGACCACGATGCCTCCTGAGCGCCTCATATTTGAGGTAATTCGGTCATGCCTAGCTGAGAGGGGATACCAAAGAGATGCTGGAGAGAGTCTCTCTTGGCTGAAAGACCAGGATGTGTTGGCTGGGAGAGGGAGGTCAGGGCATCTCTGCTTAGACTGCAGTCCTGATTTAAGCAATCTAATTTTACCCAAGGCAGTTTTTTGCTGGCAGACAATTGGCTGAAAGACACAAGTTTACAGCAATTTAGCAAGAGCTTGTATTTTCACATCAGTTCAAGTCAGTGCATCAAATGACCTCCTTGGAGGTTTTTTTTTTTTTTTAAATTTAAATAATTCTAATTGATAAATGATGCTTGAGTCTTTTCAGTAGTTCTGCAGAAATGCTCAGTCTTGCTTGACAGTCAGTGCATATTCTTTACTTTTATTGTCTGTGTGTTTCAGAGCAACAGCGGCTTCTTTTTGGAAAGCAGCTGGAGGACGGATGCACTCTCACAGATTATGGAATTCCAAATGGGGCGCTCATGTACATGGTTATAAGGCTTAGAGGGGGAGGGCAACTTGAACAAAATATTGAGGAAACTATTGAAATTGAAGTTCCTTACTATTCTGAGGAAGACTTCAGCGAGGAAGACTTCAGTGAGGAAGACTTCAGCGAGGAAGACGATGGCACAGGAAGCAAGAATCCCAAAAAGCAAAGTATGGAAAATCTAGTTTTCATGTAAATACTTTCAAAAACACTCAGATCAACATGTCAGTGGCCCAAGCGCCCAGTGACTTCTGAGCAAACTGGGAAGTCCCCCCCCAGTCATATCAGAGAGATTCTCTGCAACATCCACTGAAGCTTGCTCAGCAGTGATGAGGGGAAAGCTTTCGAAGGCAGAGAGCTGAGAGAATGTTTTCTACTCACCCCACGGAACAAAGATGATGATGCATTAATGCCCCATTTCAACAGATTTGGTCTTTGCGATTTATTATGATCAGTAGTTTTTATAAATCAGCTGTTGCTCTGCCACAACTGGTTCAGCCAGGCAGATGACACACATATGAAGAGCCAGATGGACACTACTTCAATTAATGATATCATGTTCAGTCAGTAAATGATTCAGCAAAATGGAAATGTCCTTGGGTTACTGACTTGAATTTTGAATTTGTTATTACTTTGTGTTATGTGAACTTTTCAGAGATAAAAATTACTACTATAAGCTTTATTTTTGTATAAACAGCCTGTTCTCAAGGAGATAATAATCAGTATATTTTGGATGGATACCAAAAAATCTGTTGCATTTGAAGAATTGTTTGTTTGAGGATGAGCTCAACAAACTGAAGTGAATATTAACCAGCACATTTCATTGTCTTTGTTCTATTTAAAGGAGCATGTTTGTTATATTGTTATGGTCCTAGCAGGGCCGCTTCCTGAGGTTGCCCTTGGGTGGGTGTGTTCTCCTGTCTCTCCTGCCTTAGGTGCCACCTTTTTTTTCTTTTTTTTTTGTACAGCTTACGCCCATCAGCAATTAGAAGTATTTAAGGCCAGAGAAACGTGAGCTCTAGTGCCAGAGAGCCATGTTAGTGGTTGCAGCTAGTGAGCTGTGTTTTGTGATTGTTCGGAGGGGGTGAGTGTGTTTGGTGATTAACCCTTTTTGACTTGCTTTCCATTTTACTGATCGACGTCTGAGTTTTGGTTTGTTTCTTCAAATGGTGATAGCGGCTTATCAGTCTCTTTAAGTTGAGTTATTAATAGAAGCTTTAAAACTCTTTAATTTAACCATTTCACCTCCCTGTCTCCTTTTTTCGACCTGGATGCTTTTTGTTACCTTCCCTCATCCCCTCGACCTTTTTAGGGGAACGTAACATATGTATGTATAGATGAAAACACTGTTTGTTTGACATTTGCTGGGATAATTTGTATTTGTTAATACTATTATCATATTTTGTTCCTTTTTTGAAAATCAATAGTTAAATATGCATCCTTACAAAATCAATGTTGTATTCTGTCATCACGGTTTATTGATGCTACAACATCTCTTGAAATCTCATGGATTTTCTTTTTTTAAACAAGGGTTTTGTACATTTCTATATACTTGTATGGTGAAAGTGGAGTGTTTTCAGCAATGCTAATCGAAACATATTTGATTAGTTTTATTTATATATAGCAGACATTTTTCTATTTTGCTTCTACTCTGCTGTGAATCTCTCAAAGAAATGTAAAAGAAAAAGTCGAGCATGAGAACCATAATATGTAATGAATGTTGCCTCTTATTTCTGTGCCACACAGGGTTGGCTGGTTTTCTTGGAGCGCATTATTGCTTGTGTGACAGTATACTGCCTTCCCTCATGTCAGCCCCCTGAACATACAGTGGCTTGCAAAAGTATTCGGCGCCCTTGAACTTTTCCACATTTTGTCACATTACAGCCACAAACATGAATCAATTTTATTGGAATTCCACGTGAAAGACCAACACAAAGTGGTGTACACGTGAGAAGTGGAATGAAAATCATACATGATTCCAAACATTTTTTACAAATAAATAACTGAAAAGTGGGGCGTGCGTAATTATTCAGCCCCCTGAGTCAATACTTTGTAGAACCACCTCTTGCTGCAATTACAGCTGCCAGTCTTTTAGGGTCTGTCTCTACCAGGTTTGCACATCTAGAGACTGAAATCCTTGCCCATTCTTCTTTGCGAAACAGCTCCAGCTCAGTCAGATTAGATGGACAGCGTTTGTGAACAGCACTTTTCAGATCTTGCCACAGATTCTCGATTGGATTTAAATCTGGACTTTGACTGGGCCATTCTAACACATGGATATGTTTTGTTTTAAACCTTTCCATTGTTGCCCTGGCTTTATGTTTAGGGTCGTTGTCCTGCTGGAAGGTGAACCTCCGCCCCAGTCTCAAGTCTTTTGCAGACTCCAAGAGGTTTTCTTCCAAGATTGCCCTGTATTTGGCTCCACCCATCTTCCCATCAGCTCTGACCAGCTTCCCTGTCCCTGCTGAAGAGAAGCACCCCCAGTGCACGACTAATAGTTGTCCTATGGACAGATTCCCCCACCTGAGCTGTAGATCTCTGCAGCTCGTCCAGAGTCACCATGGGCCTCTTGGCTGCATTTCTGATCAGCGCTCTCCTTGTTCGGCCTGTGAGTTTAGGTGGGCAGCCTTGTCTTGGTAGGTTTACAGTTGTGCCATACTCCTTCCATTTCTGAATGATCGCTTGAACAGTGCTCCGTGGGATGTTCAAGGCTTGGGAAATCTTTTTGTAGCCTAAGCCTGCTTTAAATTTCTCAATAACTTTACCCCTGACCTGTCTGGTGTGTTCTTTGGCCCTCATGGTGTTGTTGCTCCCAATATTGTCTTAGACAACCTCTGAGGCCGTCACAGAGCAGCTGTATTTGTACTGACATTAGATTACACACAGGTGCACTCTATTTAGTCATTAGCACTCATCAGGCAATGTCTATGGGTAACTGACTGCACTCAGACCTAAGGGGGCTGAATAATTACGCACACCCCACTTTGCAGTTATTTATTTGTAAAAATAAATCATGTATGATTTTTGTTCCACTTCTCACGTGTATACCACTTTGTGTTGGTCTTTCACATGGAATTCCAATAAAATTGATTCATGTTTGTGGCTGTAATGTGACAAAATGTGGGAAAGTTCAAGGGGGCCGAATACTTTTGCAAGCCACTGTAAGTGAGGGCTGTATACTTGTAGTTTAGGACTTGGAAAGTTCAAGGTTGTGATCGACACAGTGGCAAGAGCACATCTTTCCACGACTTCAAACACTGCCAACAGAACTCATGCACTTTCTGTTTTAGAAAGTAAAATGTTTTTGTCTTTTTTGTTTATGCTTTTTGTTGTTTTTGTTGCATTTTGTACCTCGGGGCCACTGTATAGTTTGAGAAAGAGAATCCAAGAGAGACTGACTTTTTAAAAAAAAAAGTTTGTAATGGTCCACTTCTTTGAGAAAAACTGCTGTATTCAGAATGTTAGAGTAGCATTTCTTAACATAAAACTGCACACAGTTTGGGACTTTGCAGTTTTTAACTGCGTCCACAAATACCACTTAGACTCCGTCTGTGGAACCCATGAATGTGATTTACAGAGAAAGAGATTTGTGATTTGAAATGTGATTTAGATTTTTTGCTCATCAGTTATTTTCCGTTTAGTTATCAATTTTTGTTTTTTGGGGGAGGATGATCGCATTAATTAGAGAAAGTTGGGTCACATGGTTATGGGTGATGCCAGGGAGTTCATATAAGCAGCTGCTCATCTGTGTAGAGACAGACTGAGAGAGTTTTTTTTTTTTTTTTTTTTTACCCCTGTTTTCTTTCGATCACTGTGATTATTTAGAATACATTTTGTGTGTTATTACGAGTTGAATTTCATTAAATCTTTTTTTGTGTATTCCGGACTGACAGAGAATTTTTTTTGGCACTGCCTAAAAAAAAAAAGGAAATGAAGAACGACCTGATCCCCTCCGTGACATTTTTGTTTATTTTCCTCACTATGCTATGGATGCAAAATAAAGTAAAAAAAAAAAAGAAAAAAAAAAAAGGAAAGAAACGATCCCCAAAATTTTGCCAGTTTTTCTGGCAAAATCATGGCTACAAGAGAAACGGACCAGGGAAGTGAAAAAAGAGAGGTGAGGAAAGGAAGGTGATAAATTTGTCCAAAGGAGAAAAACCATCATGGGAAGAAGGTGTTAAGTGTAAAGACACAAGAAGATTATATGATGGTGAAAAAAACACAGCAGCAAAGTCAGGCAGTCTGGTGTTCTTTGTTCTTGTCTGGCTCGTTTAAGATCGGTTAGTCTCTTCTGAGAAAAAGTGATGTTATGAATGTTTCTGTGCACAAAATTTGACAACAGAATTTACAAATTCAGAATCTCTATAATGGACGATTTTGTTGCCTCTATGAAATACAAGTGCTAACTTGTATAAATAATATCCAGTGATCCTGATTTTTACTCATCAAATCACTAATATAATACAAAGCTCTCCTTTGATTTCTTTCTAATCAATCTGACATTTTTTTTGTAATGCTTATAATTTAGGAGCTACTGGTCCACTCTGCACATGTTGAAACAAAACAGAAAAAACCAGCACTTTTTATAAGTTCTTTATTTTTCACAATGCGCTTAAACTACAGGCTAACATTTTGTCTCTCGAGTAGACCTGATGCGTTATGCTAAGATTTCATTTGTAACAGACTTGAGTGCTGATAAAGTTTATTCATATTTCATATACACAGACATGTTTCAGTAAAAGATGTATGTATAATGATCTCTCTGCACAGTTAGTGATTTTAACAGAACAATAACAAACAGTCTCTTGTTGTGCAGTTTAAAGTTCAGCCAGTAGGAGGCAGAGAAACAAAGGCTGACAAAATAAAGCTCAAAGTGTCTTTTGGAGCTGAGTTACACAACATAATTTTTTTTGTATCAACAATTGTTAAACCTTGAAGGAAAATATAAACATTATTTTAAATTGTTCATGTGTCTTGTTTTCATGTTTTCCTCCACACAGGGATGGAGGTCTGCCTTGGAGCGACCCCACTGGGGCAGATTTCATATGGTGAACTGGTCTGTGAACATTCACGCTTCAGTTTCAGGCAGACAAAACAGAACTCCATCTTGCAGCGAGGACAGTTGATATTTTTGCAGTATTCTGTGGTATGCTCCACCCTCATGCCACATGTAGGACAGAGTCTGATGGCGGGGCAGCTGGTGACACCCTCCACCTCAGGCAGACTGATGGTTTTACACGTCTGCATGAGTTGCAGGTCTTTGTTCTCACATCCATCATTGTCACAGCGGTCAGATCGAGGGCCTGAACCCTTCCACGTTTTCAGACACTGCCAGCAGAACTGGTAGGTCTTCTTCTGATCAGCTGTACATACGACACACTGGACACACAGGTTGGACAGATCCTTCCTCTCCACATCTGTTTTACACTGAGGACACTGATGTGGGAAACAGTTAGGGGTTGTTTTAAAGAAAAGAAGGAGACCTCCAATTTAAACATTTTTATCAAAGCAAAATAAGCTTAAAGTAACTTACTGGCTGAACCTCGCAGTGGTCTGCAAGAGCCAGACGGGCCATGTTCTCTTCAAAGTGCTGCATTTCCTCCACAGTCAGATCAGCCAGTCTGCGCACCTCCTGGTACGACCACTCTTTATTACACTGCTTGGTGCCCTCCACTAAAGCCGGACATCTGAATTTGTAATTCCCCTGAAAACAACAACGACAACAAAAGACTTGTATAATTAGAGAAATAACTAAATACATTTACTTAAAGTCCAAATCTGGAGTACTTCAGAGCTCTTATTTTCATTATAATAATACTTTGTTACATTTATCTGATAAGCCTCTAGTTATTTTCACAATAACATTTGGCAAACAGACAATGATGACCTTTATTCATGGAAATGAGTACCAGTAGCACCCTACTATTGAGCTTATACAATAACTTTTACAAAGCAGGGCCTTGACCTAAAAAGTAACATTTGTATAATAATTTTAGCTAAGAAAGATTTCTTCAAACAGAGCTCAAACCTTAAGCATAACTTTGTTGCACCACCGTTATCCAAATTGAATTTGAAACTTTATTTATAATTTTAAAAAAAGGGCTACAAAGACACGACATACCTCATCCAGCAGAGAGCGACACCAACGTGTCAGAGATTCAGGAGTGACAGCGTGGCAGCAGGACATCTCTGCTCTGAGAGAGTCATCACCTGAGGAGGGAGTAAACAATAACAAATCAAACATGTTGTTAGTTTAGAGAGGAAACAAAGTCAAACTAGATTTGCATGTCAAGCTACCCCTCAACTCATCCAAATCTAACAAATCTCACACAGAGTGCATCATTTAAGCTGCTTTCTATCTCCACTCCTCCTTTTGTACTGTGTCTGACTTAATCACCATCATATCTGTCTTTGATGCCTGCTCTGATCTGTGCTGGATTCTTGCTGCTGCTTCCAGAACAGAAACAAAACACCAAATATAAATTATATTCAGTAAAAATAAAACAAATCTTACATGATGAATCCAAGTCATCCTCTCTGTTGACAAACTTCAGGGTGGTGTCTAGAGGGTCGTATTTCTTCTCCACCTGATCCTGTCCATGAATGCTCATTCTGGGAATCCAGCACTACAAATACTGTAACATAAGATTTATATTAGCATGTCAGCCTCCATTACAGACCAAAAATAATGACTGTCATTCTCACAAGATAGGAGTTTGGACTGAAAGGAGGATAAATGCTGTCTGATACACATCTTCAGTGTGCTGATGGTTCACCTTTTCAAGAGGGAAATGAACCAACGCATCAAAAACTAGAGATTTACACCCTACAACCTCAAACTGCTGTCAAATTAAAATAGGAGTCTCGGATTTCAGTTTTTGTTTACATGCAAATATTTCTTTAACAACAAACAAATAAAAATAAGTAGTAGTTAAGTAGTTATTTGCTGCTGAATAATGAGTAGTTTTAGTGATTCAGATTTCAAGCACTTTACAGCACCAGAATAAGTGCAGAGCCTTTATGAAGAGGAAAAGTACAATTTCACTTGTTTTTATAAACTGCTTTTGAAGATGCATTCATGTCATTTGTGGTTGGTGTCACTGTATGGTCTTCTTATTGTCTTTCTTGGACTGAATACAGTGAATGTTTGTTAATGTCTTCTTCAGTCCAGGTTTTTGAAGACTCTGGAGTTTGCTGGAGTTTTACTGGTGGAATTTTCCACTTTCATCCTATAGATGAAAGTTTGCACACCACTAGAAAAGATTCAGTGTGTTCATGGTCTCTGTTTCGCTCCCAGATAAAGGCTTGTGTGCTGAGTTTCAGTTAAATAACCATAAAAATATATATGTTTTAGCTTATGTGTGTACCTTACAAAAAGTACTTAAAACGTGAAGGGTTTTGAATCCAGAAGCTCTCAGTCTTAAAACAACTTATTTAAAAACCTCCTGTGAGGTGTGGCGAGTCACTCAAGGAAGTTCCAGCTGCCTTTAACTTTGTTACAGAACGTTAACGTTTCTCTTTCTTATGAGACTGTTATTACAAAGTAGTAAACATGTCCACAACATTTATGTAATATTTTAAAAGAATATAAACTTAAACTTGAAGGAGGCTTCGTAGTTATTTAAGTGGATAAACTGAAGATATTAACAGGCGATTTGTTAAAGGGAGAAATGTTATGTCTTCGCTTGTTGGCACAGCTCTAGCAGTTTTAAAGACTTCCGCTTTTATTTTAACGCTCAGCCAGAAGTAGGACAGCCACACATGTAACTCTCTAGTTTGATTTAAGTATTCAAATAAATATTAAATTTACCAGGAATCACGAGTCTCCAGGGTCTGTGTACTTCCAGCGGTGGGTCCTTGCGTGTCTGTCGCACCTCCTCTCTGTCGCACTTCCTCGTTCAGCGTCGCTACGGCATCGAAAGTGAAAGTATGCTGAGGTCGGTAAATCAGATAGGCTGCACGGTGAGTACTCTCCTGTTTACCCTCCCTTTTTACTACTCACCGTTAGAAAACATCATCATTATTGCTGTCTGGACTCACGGGTTATAGCGTCAGTGCGTTTGGTACTTTATACTGAAGCTGTGATTGTTTTACTGTTGCTTGAATGGTCTGTTTTATGACCCCCCGAAGGCGGGTAAGCACGGCTAAGAGGCGGCAGCATGGTTCAATAACACTCGAGACACAGACTGTTACTGTGGACGCATTCATTCAAATTTAAAGGGTTTACAATTAAAATTTGAATTTAAATCGATTTCGAAAATCAGACGTTTCAAGGTTATTTTACTTAAAGCACATTTGTAATGATAGCACATTACCAAAGAAACCTGTAGCTACTACAAACCGTAAAAGTATCGTATTTATAATGTTGCTTTATTATTACCAGCTCAACTTTACTTTAACGAGCTTTATTTAAGGAAGCCACATAACACAGTACAGTGACGTTATTGCAGGAAGAGAGAAAACAGAACAAACGAGAGGAGGCAGACACGACAGCGTCACACAGCTGTTGCAGATGTGTCTGCCGCACATCCATGACTCTGCTGTTCCACCACATCCTAAACTTGATGTGTTGGATTGACATCTGGTGACTGTGGAGGTCATTTGAGTACACTGAACTAATTTTAATGTTAAAAGAAAACATTTTGAGAGGATTTGAGCTAACATAGCGAGTTATCCTGTTGGAAGCAGTCATCAGGAATGGTCCACTGTACACCAGCAGCAGCTTTAACTGTGGATATACGGCAGGATGGATCCGTGCTTTCATGTTGTTTATGCCAAACTCTGACCCTGCCGTCTGAATGTTTGTTGGTGCCTGTCTGGTTATCCTCAAATTCTGGAATGTCAAACTCACTTTACATCCTGGGCCACATACAGCAAACTTTAATTTTAAGTGGGCCAGACCAGTGAAGCTCCCCCTTCTGTCAGTGTAAAGACGTTTAACTACACAATGCAAACCTGAGATATGTTATTATAAGAAAAAAGAAGCATAATTTCAACAGCACTTTACACACAACTGTTATCTATTAATTAACTATTTCTGGCTCAGTATGAATGGCCACAGGGAAGGTTTTTATCAGGAGAAAAAGCTTCTTAATGTCTATGCTTTTCTACTAATTTTCCAAAGCCATCTAATTGGCTGGATTGGCATCTTTACTGGGTCAAGTGTGGCCCCCGAGCATTGTGTTTGACTCTCCTGCTCTAACTTCTGCTGTGTCTAATATCCTTCAACAGAATGAACCCAAGCATCTGACAGTAAAGTTCAGGAGTGAAAATGCTGACACACATCAGACAGACATCAGGATGAATCACTCCCTCGTGTCGAGGTTCAGAAAGAAACTAAATAGCCTTCCTGTTGCAGGTAAGTAGTATAAAATGCAGCAGCTTAAAGCATGTGGCTCTGATTAAATGATGTGTGACTTATATTCCTTACCCTCATTGACTTACTTTTTAGATTACTATGGCCTCAAGAGTCCAGGTCTTACATGTTACCTGAACAGCGTGCTTCAGGTGCTTTTCATGACAGAAAACTTTCGCGACACTTTGAAAAGGTTTGAAAAACAACTTTATTTGGGATGTTTTTAAATGTGGCTTTGTTGTCTTGAGGAGATGAGCACAGCTGCCATAAGTTAGCATAAAGCCTGGATGCATGGGAAAGAAAAAAAGAAGAAATGTAGGAAAATCAGAATAAATCAGAATAAATCAGAAACGTAGAGTATCACAGAAAATGTTTTTTGTTTTCTTTTACTCTTTGACTCAGTTTTAAGAAACAAGATGAAGTTTTTCTTTTATTTAACAGAAGTGTCACATTGATGTTAAAGTGTATTTCTTCCAGGAATTAATACGCGTTAAAATCTGGAACTAAGTGGAAATATAAAGATTTTTAATCACATTACCTTTGTTTCCTGGTTACATATTAAGACAAGTTTCATTATATAATTTTTCAAGGGATCTTATATCTGTTTTCACTCTT